TACAGTTCAATTGCCATGGAGCCAAAGTCTTTCCCATAGTCTTTCATTATATGAATGGGCTCCATGGCATAGCTATCTGGGGTATCACCGCTCAAACAGGGCAAGCACCAAATGACCCGGCTTTCATGTCTTGCAGGGAAAAATCAAGCCTTTTAAAATGGGGCCATAATCCAAAGGCAACAAGCGAGCAACCAGGCTTCTCCAATGCAATGTGGCGAGATTGGTCTCGTCACAGAAGTTTATTCAAATTCTGCTCCACAATAGCTGAACCAAAAACATAGCAAAAATGTTTTACTTAACTTTTTTTTACTATTTTGCCTTAAAATTTTTTATTCAATTAGAATTTTCTTTAAATGACCTTGCATTATTTTACACTAAGCTGGACACCATGACACTAATAACTGTTCCTGAGTTATCAAGTAAAGTTATGTTTCCTGTTTTCTATGGTTCCCTGACTAATGGCTTCTAGACCTTTTGACTTTGTCTTCTGCCTCACCTCCTCCATTTCTTGGCAGTGCTTCTGCCAAGAAACAGAGGAGATGAGGCTTCTGTTCAGTGCCTTGGAGGGACAGTTTGATCCCAAACCTCCTTATTCAGTTTCTCTTTAAATTGGTATTTGTTTTCTGCTCGTGGGCTCTAGTTCATAATTCTCTCTGACAAGAGCACACTCAAGCTGCTTTAATTACAACAGCAGTAGATGAAGGAGCAGTTGAAAATAAATAAAGTAGCTTAAGGCTGAATAAAAAAAATCTATTTTCATCATGTAAAATCAGATGAACAATCTGTCAGTGCTAAAGGTAAAATATTTTTACACTAAATAGTAATTTTGCATGATTCGGTAATAAAAATCGCAAAATTAAGATTAAAAAATCCAACTTTAAGCATTAGTTAAATTCCTTGTAATTACATTTTTAAATAAACTCCAGTTCACTGTTTAGAATGTAATCCCACTTGTCTTTGCAAAAGTCCTCTGCAGGATATAACACGTCAAATGCAGAATATGTACATTATGTCTCATTATTACTTCCCTTTTGGAAATCCAACTATCATACTTCCAACAACAAAAAAGATACTGTTAGCCTTGTATAATAATGCCACACTGTATCGGCAACATTTGGAGTTATCATTCTAAGTACGAGACACATTGCTCCTCTTATCACAGTACAGATCTTAAAGCTTTGTTTTTTAAAAGTATCATCACCTTTGGCACCTTAATGTTACTTAGTACTTCTCTCTTTTTCTAGATTTTTCTTTTGGCATGTATAGAGTTTGTTTTTAGTTATCAGTAATGTTTACCTGACTTGTGCATTCCATTTTTCAAAAAATAAAAAAAGTAATTTGTCAAAATTTATATTATATATATTTTGCAGTACACTGATTGTCCCTCTTTGGTTCATCCAAATAATTTTGGATAAGATGAAATTTGTATGGACGAATTTCATCTTATCCAAAATGCCACATGAACGACTGCTGATTCCACTGACCCAAAATTTAGTTTCAGCTGAGCCAAATTATTTAACACTGCACAATTGTTAATGTTTACTCACTATTGGATTAATATTGATTACTTGTGCTGTTATATTGTATGCTAAAACATTATTTTACCAATATTGCTTCTTCCAGTCTGGTATTCTCATTAATGCCATAAGTTGCGCCTTTACACTTATTATATTAGTGCATTTTAATTCTCTGTATTGTCACCACTGACAGATGAACTGATAGCACTGATTATATTGTTAAAATTACACCTTTCAAGGGGTGAGATATATTAGGCAGCAAGTGAACAGTCAGTTCTTGAATTTCATGTGATGCAACAAGGAAAAGGAACATATAAAAAGATCTAGCTGACTTTGACAAGGGCCAAATAGTGATGGCTAGATGACCGCGTCAAAGTATATCCAAAATGGCAAGTCTTATGAGATGTTCCTGGTATGCGGTGACTAATACCTTCTAAAAGTAGTGCAAGGAAAGACAACTGGTGAACCAGTGCAGGGTTATGCCTCATTGATGAATGTGGGTAGAAAAGGCTAGCTCATTTGGCCTGATCACACAGAGTAACTACTGTATCTCAAATTGTTGAAAAACTTGTTGAAAAACTTGTTGAAAAAGCTAACCATGATAGAAAGGTGTCATACACAAAATGCATCACAGTTTGCTGCATATGGGATTGCGTAGCCACAGACTGGTCAGAGTGCCCATGATTACCACGGTCCATCTCCGAAAGCACCTTCAATGAGAATGTAAGCATCAGAACTGGATTATGGAGCAATAGAAGAAATCTGCCTGATCTCATGAATCATGTTGTCTTTTACATCAAGTGGTTGACTGTGTATGTGTGTGTTGTAGACCTGGGTAGGAGTAAGATGGCACCGGTATGCACTATAATAAGAAGGAATGCTTCCAGAGGCATTTTATTCTCTAGGAAATGTTCTGTTGGGAATCTTTGGGTCCCAGATTTCAGGTGGATGTTACTTTGACATGTGCCACTTAACAAGAGATTGTTGCAGGCTATGTACAGCTCTTCCTGGTAATGGTGTTTCATATGGCATTATTCTCTTTCAGCCACACTGCAAAAAAATGTTCAGGAATGGTTTGAGGAACATGACAAAGAGTTCAAGGTGTTGCATGTTCATCCCGATTTGGTATGTGCTGAAACAATAAATCTGATCTATGGAGGCCATACCACACAACTTGCAGGACTTAAAGAATTTGCTGCTAATATCTTAGTGCTAGGTAACACAATAAACGTTCAGAGTTCTTGTGAAGTCCATTCCTCAACATTTCAGAGCTGCTTTCGCAGTACAATGATAACCTACATGATATTATTCAGGTGTTTTTAATGTTGTGGATGATGTAAATGCCTACATGTTAACCCCCCCCCCCCAAAAAAAAAAAAAAAAATACTATAGCAATACAATCTCAGAGTTTAATAAATTAGCACTTATGTAAAATCTTAGTTGTGAATCCACTATTTAAACACATCAATGCCAGTCTGCACCCATGCATAACAATTCTAAATATATTTGCAAGTTTTAATTAGTGCTGAATGTATTAATGCCATGGAAAACTCAGACATCAGCTGTCAAAGCTGTGCAAGCACTAAAGTAAAGTTTTTGCTCTTTGCATCATCTATTCTAGAAGAAACATACTCTTAGATTTACTTTAAATTTGAAGAAAGCTAATGCTTTACAAGAGAACTTAACAGGGCATTGTACATACTTTAATAATACAAATCAGCTGTGCCTACATTAAAGGATCACTTTAGGGTCAGGAACACAAGCATGTATTCCTGACCCTATAGTGTTAAAACTGGGCCCCTCATTCCTCCATAAATATAGTAAAAATCTTACTTTATTCAAGCCTGAAGCTGTAACTCTGCATGCTGTTAAACTCAGACAAACAAGCAGTCGGTTGACATCATCACAAGTGGTAGCCTGATCCAATTACAATGCTTCCCCAAAGGATTGGCTGAGACTGACAAGGAGGCAGATCAGGGGCAGAGCCAGCATGATTCAAACACAGCTCTGGCCAATCAGCATCTCCTCATAGAGATGAATTGATTCAATGAATCTCTGTGAGGAAAGTTCAGTGTCTGCATGCAGAGGGAGGAGATACTGAATGTTTGGATGCATTTTAGGCAGCCATGACCCAGGAAGGATCTCTAACAGCCATCTGAGGAGTGGCCAGTGAAGTTATCACTAGGCTGTAATGTAAACACTGCATTTTCCCTGAAAAGACAGTGTTTACATCAAAAAGCCTGAAGGTAATGATTCTGCTCACCAGAACAAATTCAATAAGCTGTAGTTGTTCTGGTGACTATAGTGTCCCTTTAAATGCTGTTTAGGTGTGCCAGATATTCTATATATTTACTATTTTAATGCCACCACTAAATGATGAATAGTGCAAATCACAATAGCATGTTTAGCATGTTTCACGGAAGGGGGTGATCCAGTGGACTAGGTGCACTAGATTAAGTTGACTGGTGTTTAACCCCTTAACGCTGTTACGGCGTTCAATGCCGTCCCACATTAAGAGGGCTTTAAAGCCGTTGCGGCGGCATAGAACGCCGTAACGGCTTTCTACCCTAGAGGTCCGGTGGACTTACCTCCGCCACGATCCTCTTCTGGAGGGCTGCCTGACAGCCCAGACAGCCCTCCCCCGGCAAATGAGGGAGAGCGATCACATGGCCCCCTATAGCTGGCTGTGGATCTGCCAGCAGGGGGACTGTCTGAAATGTCAGACAGTCCCCCTGCTGGTGGGAAGTGTTAAAAAAAAAAATTAAACAAGTTTAAAATAAAATAAATGTGTATATATGTATATATAAAATATATATATATATTATATATCTAATATATATACATCTTATATATAAGTAACGTAATACGTAGTCTATTTTAATGTTAATATAAGTACATATATTAATCTTAAAATACACTTAGAATGACGTTACATATATATAAGATATATATATTCTATATATAATATATATATATATATATATATTATGTGTATAAATATACATATAATTACAATAGTAAATCAATAAAATAATAAAATAAATAAATAAAATATATTTTTTTTAAATTTAAATAAATTATATATACATATGTAATCTAATTCTAACTGTATTTTGTTATTAATACATATATATTGGTAACAAAACACACTTAGAATGACATTCTATATATATCTATCTATATATAAAATACAAATAACTGCAAATATTTATATATAGATAAATATATATAATTACATAAATAACTACATAATTATACACGTAGAATTTAAATACATATATGTAAATATATATAAAAATTCTACGTGTATGCTTAAGTACTATTTTAGCATAATTATGTGATTTAATTAATTAACATTTGATTGACGTGCCTGACAACACAGGCAGCAAGTGCAGAGAATTAAATTTGCACGCGCTATATTTAACCCTGTAATTTTCCTAGACACCATAAAACCTGTAGATGGGGGTACTGTTTTACTCGGGAGACTTCGCTGAACACAAATATTAGTGTTTCAAAATGATAAATTGTATTACAACGATTATATATTTAGTAAAAGTGAAGTTTTTTGCATTTTTCACACACGAACGGCACTTTTACTGACGATATTGTTGCAATATGTTTTTCTGTTTTGAAACACTTATTTTTGTGTTCGGTGAAGTCTCACAAGTATAACAGTACCCCCAATGTACAGGTTTTGTGGTGTTTTGGAAAGTTAGAGAGTCAAATATAAGGCTTGTATTTCATTTTTTTCCCTTTTAAATTTGCCAGGTTGGTTACGTTGCATTTGAGACCGTATGGTAGCCCAGTTATGAGAATTACCCCCATGATGGCATACCATTTGAAAAAGTAGACAACCCAAGGTATTGCAAATGGGGTATGTCCAGTCATTTTTAGTAGCCACTTAGTCACAAACATTGGCCAAATATTTGTTATTTTGTTTTTTTCACACAAAAACAAATATGAACGCTAACTTTGGCCAGTGTTTGTGACTAAGTGGCTACCATAAAAGACTGGACATACCCACTTGCAATACCTTGGGTTGTCTACTTTTGCAAATGGTAAACCATCATGGGGGTAAATCTCATTCCTGGGCTACCACACGGTCTCAAATGCAACATAACCAACCTGGCGAATTTCAATTTGAAAATACAGAAAAATGGAATGAGCTATATTTGACCCTTTAACTTTCCAAAACACCGTAAAAACTGTTAATGGGGGGTACTGTTGTACTCATGAGACTTTGCTGAATCCAAATATGTGGTTTTTTTTGCAGTTAAAGCTAACAGCTAAAATGTCTACACATTTTTTTTTAAATCGTAATTTCTCACAGTTTTTTAAATTTTATTCGTAATCACTTATGTTTCAAATATGAATAGTTCATGAGAAATTAAAGCCCAGTTTCTCCTGAACAAAATGATATATAATAAGTGTGGGTGCACTTAATATGAAAGAGGTGAATTACGGATGAACAGACATACAGCGTAAATTCCAGTTTTTGTTTACATTTTGTTTTGATCAGAACGTGTACTATTGACTCCGTCCTGAACGGGTTAACGGGGGAACAAAGCAACATTTCAGCTGGCTCAGCAGCCTTTCTCAAGTCTCATTATCTTGTTATGATAATATTTGCTAATAATGGTATTAATAAATAATGAATGTATTTTATAATACAGTGTTAAATAATTTGTTTTTGTTTTGATCCTGATTATTAATTCTTACACGATGGAAAAACAGGATACTTGTGGATATGGCGTGAGTGTCAGAGGCGTGTCCTTGTGTCTTGGTGTACCTGCTGCGGCCCAACTCCTTATTTCCTCCACGTGGGTGCTCCTTCTTCTGATATTTTTTCTGATACTGCCCAATGTAGATTGAAGCATTTTAAAGACTCCACCTTCTGGGCCAGGTAAATGAAGCAGAAGTACGTGCGTCATCACACAAATGATGCACACGCATGTCATAACATCATGTTGGTGTAATCATCCAATCCCTGTCCACTTAAAAATGTATATACCCTCAATAGCTTTCTCTATGCTCTGTCATGTTTTTATGGTTATCAGAGCTTGTTTATATCATTTAATTTACTGACCTTGGTTTGCTTATGACTATTCATCTTTCTGTATCCTTTGACCTTGACTTGACCTATACTACTCTATATGGCATCCATCCACTCTAAGTTCTGGTAATACACATTTTTACTTGACCATTGAAAAAGACCGGTGACTATTCAGCCTTAAAGGAAGCATTTGTATAAGTTTACCTAGCAGTATTTTGCACACAGGAGCTTAAGACCGAAGGAAGCTGGAATAGGATAAGGGATCCTGACCTGGACTGGAATACCTGCAAGTACCAGCAGTGGAAGAATTTTCCCAGTGTTTAAATACACTGCAACATTGTGTGTGGGTACAACATTTTTTTTATCTACAGTTATGGATTATTGGCATTCATCCCTAAAAGAGTCTGATTATTTTATGAACTCCTTTAGAATTTATCAACTTATCACTCTGATCATTTTATAAAATCTTTAGCATTTATCACCAAATTCAGCACGGTTTTATGAAGCACAGGTCATGTCAAACTAACTTGTTTGCGTTCTACGAAGAAGTAAGTAGAAGTATAGACCAGGGTGTCGCAGTGGATGTGATCTACTTGGATTTTGCAAAGGCATTTGATACAGTTCCACACAATAGATTAGTGTTCAAACTCAAGGAAATCGGTCTAGATGAAAATGCTTGTTCTTGGGTAGAACATTGGCTTAAAAACAGAGTACAAAGAGTTGTCATTAATGGTAAATTTTCAAGCTAGACAGAGGTGGCAAGTGGTGTCCCTCAGGGGTCTGTTCTGGGACCCCTTCTATTTAAAATGTTTATAAATGATCTTGAAGACAGCATTGAAAGTTATGTTTCAGTGTTTGCAGATGACACAAAACTCTGTAAAATAATACAATGTGAGCAAGATATTACTTTGCTGCAGAGGGATTTAGATAGACTGGGGGACTGGGCACTCAAATGGCAGATGGAATTTAATGTTGAAAAATGCAAAGATATGCACTTCGGCATAAAGAATACAAAAGCAACGTATACCCTTAATGGAAGCGAATTAGGGATAACAACACACGAAAAGGACTTGGGAATTGTTATAGACAACAAACTATGCAACAATGTGCAATGTCAATCAGCAGTGTCCAAGGCCAGTAAAGTATTGTCATGCATGAAAAAGGGCATTCATTCTCGGGATGAGAATATCATTTTTCCTCTTTATAAATCACTGGTAAGACCACATATTGAATATGCTGTGCAATTTTGGGCACCTGTTCTAAAGAAGGATATTATGGCACCTCTCCACCTCCCACAACATCACTGTGGAGGCATGGTCTCTCCCTGCATGGCCCAATCCAATGCTCTTCAAACCCCACAGGAGGCTTTCATATCCCTTGACCTAGTTTTACTCAGTCAGTGCCGTAGAAGTACCTTCTGACAGTCGATAGGCGTGGACTAACCCTGCAATATAAGCATTGTAGTATCAAAAAAAAAAAGAAAGACACTGCAATGTTTTACCATGCGGGGTAAAAAGCATAGGGACTCTGCATGCAGACCACTTTATTGAGATGAAGTGGTCTTAGTAACTATGATGTCCCTTAAACCTATTTCACCCTGCATTGATATACTGGCACTTCACACAAACACCTCTATTTTACACATTACATCTCTCTACACAGACATACAATGTTTCGGTCTGACCATGAGTTCTTTGTCAAGTCAAATGTCTCATGGCAAGACCAAAATGTTGTCTATTTATTCCTTCACCTAATAAAACGGTTAAATAGAAGCCATGGTGTGCTTATACTATAATGAATTTCTATTCATGATTTGAAATATTTGTTAAGTGTGGGCTGAATACAGAAGCTGTGGTTTTTGGCAGAATGCAGTTCCTTTCTACTGTGTTGAGCCTCTGTTGGGCTAGGCAGTAAGATTAATACTAGATGTTATGCTTTATGGCCTATTTATAACAATCCACTCTATTTTCATTAAAGTCACGCTGGCTTGAGATTGGTTTAAATATTACAAAACATATATGTATTTTGTGCCCTTATGTGGCTACTTTTCGTTCTTTATATTCTGATCTGACTACCTTTGCAATTCTCCCGTGTTCTGCTTACTTTTACTCAGATTGTTCCATGTGTATTCAATATCCCATTACTTTGACTTTGACTAGTTTATCGGTTTACATTTGTGTGTGTGGAGGTTTTTGGATGGAGGAGGGGTTCAGCTCACTTGAGATGTTATCTAAAGGCCAGCCAAAAACAGGAAACACAATGTGCTCTACTTTCTTATAACTTGACAAGTCATTATATATATAGAAATCTACCTATCAATCCTTAGCATTTTTGCATACCAATCACCGGTAAACCCTGCAGGTGTGAAATCTATACATGAAAACCTTAACCACAATCAGTTCCAGCAACCCAAAATGAGAAATAAATCATTGAGTCTTAGGGCCATAGTTATCAAATGGTACTTGTCTAGATCATTTTATCGAGCGAGTGGATGATATGTTTGCCCTGTCCATTCTCACCCATAAATAAAGACTATTCCATTATTGGCACTGTTCCCTAACCTGACTTTCCTTCCTCGATAATAAATATTTGTTCCATACCAGTAAACTTTGGAAGTACTTCCTGCTTCTAACTCATCAATTTGTTTACTGTCAGAGCACATATTGACCATCAGCAACCAGAAGATATAACATGAAATTCCAATTGAAGCATAATCTGATAAGATACTTTGATGTGTGTCACTTGTATGTAAAGTTAACTTGTTTTGTTTTGATATTTTAACATTTAAGTGTAGTGAATAACTTGTCTGTCAGACTAGAAGAGCTTTTACCGTTTTCCAATTTGGAGCGTACTATATACAACAATTTGGAATATAGGGAACATTTATTCACCCAGAAAACCAGAAGTAGATTTATTACATCTAGATTGGGGAATAGTCAATTCTAAAAGTAGGATGATTCTTACCCACTCTATGATGGCAGCTAAAATTTTGATAGCGAGACATTGGAAGACAAATACATGTCCAACAATTCAAAGCCCAACTTCTATATCATTTTGAGATGGAAAAAGCAATTCATTATAATAATAACAAGAATAACATACGTAAGATACTTATTTGTCTTATAAACAAATTAGAAGCCCTGAAAATGGTTTGAACCTGAGCAGAGGGTCAAGTAATTGACCTAATTTAAAAAAAAACTATTTTTGAAAACAACACTTAATAATCTGATGGAGAGTACCAACAGGAGGCCCCTAGACTATGAATGATTGAATGAATGTTTGTCCAAATTCGATATAAATTTACAGAACTGAATAATAGATACACAATTGTTTTTGTGTTTATGTTTCTCTTTCTTTTCTAATGTATGTATATTGCTTTTTTATTGGTGTTGTGTACTGTACTTTTTTATATGATAAAAATTCAATAAAGACCAATTAAAGATATAAAAAAGGAACAAAAAAAACCTTGCTTGCACCCACCAGAGGTGCAAACCCAATGCTTCCCCCAACTGAACCACATGGGATATTCCCCCTTCTGCAGGATGGGGGTAAATAACATTTTTCAATGGTGCTATTGCACATAAAACCCCTACACTTGGACAACTCAACATACAATCACACTCAGCCAGTCCTCTCACACACTCACATTCAGCCAACCACACATACAATCATAACAGTAAAACAAGTTGCAGGATACTGAGATTTGTGTGAGGATTCCACTGAAGACAAATTTTAGTGGTTATACTTTCTACTCTAAACAGTGCTCCACTGCTTGATTTTTCACGTGGTTGTGTGTTGTTTTTTTTTACACATACACTGTGGTAGCAGCTATAAGCACATAATATTCAGATAGAGGTTTTAAACTGTTTCTAAACACTGCTTTCGATATACGATGTTTTAATTATACTTTCTACTCTATTTCGTTTTCTTTTTGTGTCAAATTATGTTTTGTTTGTTTCTACTTTTTGCTCACAGTTTGGTGCTTTTACTTTACAGTTTTTTCGACCACTTTAAAGGGGTAAGTACCCACAGGTACTAAAAGATTGTAATTCTGTTAAAATATCGATGTTGTTAATGGTTTAATCATTTTAATATTGTGCACACAAGAAAAACGGTTGACAAGGATAATATGATTAATAGCTTTAGCTGTCACTTCTTGAGCCTGAATCAAATACTTTTGGCAAACAAGTCAATTATTCTGATAGATTTGACATTTGTAATGCCAAATTTAATTTACAAAGACATTAAAGTAAAGTTTAGTGACTTGGTTATATGTAGGGGTGAAATATCTACTTATCAGAGTGAGGACTTTACAAAGGACAATCTGATTCAAGCTAAATCAGTATTTGAATCCATCTAATCTTATCTAAATCCACCAGTTGTACAGAGGAATGTAGGTCATTCCTGTATGAAATCGTGTTCTTCCTACAATTAGTACTATCATAGAATTTTACATATTACTCAAATTTTCCACTGACCACAAAATGTTATGTAAGAGAAATAAAGATTTCTGAACACGCAGCCACTATGTATATATAGTTAATATATTGATTAGCGAGACATTGGAAGACAAATACATGTCCAACAATTACCCAATTCAAAGCCCAACTTCTATATCATTTTGAGATGGAAAAAGCAATTAATTAGAATAATAACAAGAATAACATACATTAGATACTTATTTGTCTTATAAACAAATTAGAAGCCCTGAAAATGGTTCGAACCTGAGCAGAGGGTCAAGTAATTGACCTAATTTAAAAAAAAAAAACTATTTTTGAAAACAACATTTAAAGGACCACTATAGTGCCAGGAAAACATACTCGTTTTCCTGGCACTATAGTGCCCTGAGGGTGCCCCCACCCTCAGGGACCCCCTCCCGCCAGGCTCTGGAGAGAGGAAGGGGTTAAACACTTACCTTTCTCCAGCGCCGGGCGGGGAGCTGTACTCCTCCTCTCCTCCTTGCTCGCGACGTCATCGGCTGAATGCGCATGTGCGGCAGGAGCCGCGCGCGCATTCAGCCGGTCGCATAGGAAAGCATTTACAATGCTTTCCTATGGACGCTTGCGTGCTCTCACTGTGATTTTCACAGTGAGAAGCACGCAAGCGCCTCTAGCGGCTGTCAATGAGACAGCCACTAGAGGCTCTGGAGGCTGGATTAACCCTCAGTATAAACATAGCAGTTTCTCTAAAACTGCTATGTTTATAAAAAAAAAGGGTTAATCCTAGAGGTACCTGGCACCCAGACCACTTCATTAAGCTGAAGTGGTCTGGGTGCCTAGAGTGGTCCTTTAATAATCTGATAGAGAGTACCAACAGGAGGCCCCTAGACTATGAATGATTGAATGAATGCTTGTCCAAATTCGATATATATTTACAGAACTGAATAATAGATACACAATTGTTTTTGTGTTTATGTTTCTTTCTTTTCTAATGTATGTATATTGCTTTTTTATTGGTGTTGTGTACTGTACTTTTTATATGACAAAAATTCAATAAAGACCAATTAAAGATATAAAAAAGGAACTAAAAAAAGATATATATAATCAATATATTAACATCGTTATACTTAATTATACATACGTAAATAAATATCACAATACGTAATAAGAAATAAAGATAATTTAACACGCTTCTCAGTTTTTTTTAAGATTACTTTCTGAGAATTAATAAGAAACTATCAAAGAGCATTAGTGGTCTCCTTTAAATTTGTCCTTTCATATTTTACACACATAATGGAAAATCAGAAGCTTGACTGTTACCTAGGTGACCAATGCTTTGCATTTTTTTTTAACTCAAGTACTTAATATTGCATCCAGCGATGAGCAAGTCAGCCATTGACTGTGTAAGATAGTCAAGACTACCAAGTACAAATCACAGCTCGTTTATAAAATCAATGAAAAATCTATTAAACCTTTTTGTACATGTTTCCACACCCTATGAAAATGTGTACAAAAAAGATTTAATAGATGTTTCCACTAAAAAAAAAATTATGTGCCTTATATTTGAAAATCATTTTGAACTCTCTTTGAATTACAAGCAATTTGGACTTAAGTAAATAACTCTGCTAGTTGCGAACTAAAACTCAAAAATATTTGAAAATATTTGGAAGTATTTTTTTATCTGCATAAAAAAACTCATTTTAGAATGGTTGCAACTTAAATGTTAAGTCACCGTAGGAAGTGGTGATGGTGTTTGCCTGCCGAAACAGGGATTCAAATAATCTCATAATGTAACTCTGTAATTAAGGCTATTTTAATTATTTCTCTGGCTGCTAAAAATTTCACATGTGGCAGATCAAGGCACTGGATGCAGGGAGGAAATATTTACTTAAAATGTCTGCTTGCTATTTTAATGGGCAGATGATGCTGTCAAGCAAAATACTGCACAGTGAGACATCACACTGTGCAATATTGGAACGGAATAATTCACAGTGTGACAAGATATTATGAATTGCAGAATTGCATAGCAACTGTGATCCTTAATATTTCAGCAATATATATATATATATATATATATATATATATTCAGTTGAAGAGATCACATGGCAGTCACTGAGTGAGTGAGTGAAAAGTCTGATGATGGGCTGCATCGGTGATGCAGGACACTTGAGCTGCTGTCTTATTCAAAAGCACTGACTATAAAAATTGAATAAAAAACAATTTTATATGCCTCCTTTTGAGGCTGTTAAAACAATTGATACAATATAAAGCTGTATTCCTAACACTACAGTTTCCTTTTCCTCCTCCCCTCCCTCTCAGCCGCCATCAAATTAAGGGTTAAAACACTTTTAACACTTACCCAATTCCAGCGCTGATGCACTTCAGCGCGGGGTCGGCGCTCCATGTCCTCCAACGTCATCTGATTGGGGGGCTACCGTGCATGCGTGGCAGTGCTGCGAGTGACTTAGGCCCTCCCCATAGGAAAGCATTGAATAAAACAAAGGGGATTTAACTGATGCTGGATGTCCAGCATCAGTAAGGAGACATAAAGTCCGGTAAGAACCCAGAAATGTCTCTAGTGGCTGTCTGGTAGACAGACACTAGAGACTGTCTTGGTACTGCAATGTAAACATTGCAGTTTCTCTAAAACTGCAATGTTTTACATTGCAGGACTAAGTGCAATATGGATACTGTACCCAGATCACTTCAATGAGCTGAAGTGGTCTGGGTGCCTATAGTGTCCAAGGACCAAACTTCTGGAATAAAAGGGAATCATGACATGTCACACATGTCATGTGTCCTTAAGGGGTTAAGTCTCATGAGCAGGGTTGGGTTTGACAATAGCCAAACGTAAGTGGCTGCCTTCAGACACCTGTCTAAAAGGATCACCCAAAACCAAACCCAATATTATGCATACATAAAAATTTTTACTACTGTTTCAGAAACAGATCTACATATTAATCAATTGCAGTGGTGTGTTGACAGGGCATACTAAATGTATATGAGGTGTGGGAAAGGGGAGGATTAAATTAGACTTGATGGAAGTTACACATTACATACTACACCTGGCAGTTGAATATGACTTGAGGTGGTGAAATTCATCATGCAAGTAGGTGAAATTTGTTGATGGCTATGAAGTGTTAGAAGGAGAGATAAAATGTCTCTATGAGCATGTATGGCTTAGCAGCTTGGTTTCTAAAAGCCAAGGAGTGTACTGGCTCATGAATATCATTAAAGCACACTGTCATAAATGTATATTTTCAGATTCCCTCTTCTTATGCTGTTGGATGTCATATATTATACCACCCTTAAATCTTGCCTTTATCTATATTTATTATATTCGTTGTTTGTGCTGGATTTTAATATCCAGGCAATTTTGTTAACCTCTGCCCATGATGTTTGCTGTCTGCCCTTCTGTGGGACTCTATTAATGAATGTTTTTTGGGAAAATTAGCTGAATATGAACTTTGTTTAAGCCTGGTACATTGCAAAAAATTGCCAAAGTTTACAGTTCCCATAAGTTATTACGCACTACTTTTTCTTACGTATAGCTAAAAACCACAGTGAATTTTAAAAAGTACATAAAAAGTACAAAACAGGGTAGAAAGTGATTAATTTAAAAACAAACCCACAAAATGAGCAACTATCAATTCTCATTGGATTCAATGGGGTCTTGGCTCTGGAATTCAATTTAAAGGGAAGGTAAGGCTTCTACATTGTATACGAAGTTTCAGGTAAGTTTAGTGCTATAACCATCATGAAATTGACCATTCCCACAAAAATGCAATAAACCATACAACATTTTGTAAATATCTTACTTGGCACCTATTGTACCTATATCTCTCTACATGGCATTATCTTTAAATCTAGGTTTTTATAAAAACAAAACAAAAATCTCTCTGATTTCATGACTTTAGTGTAAATGTAGCATTAAACTGTTGTTCTCATGGTTTGCAATGACAGCGGGCGGCCTGAGCATACCCGCAGGTACTTCATTGCAAGCCTGCTAATCTGTTCTCTTTTTCATTTAGCTTCTGGCACTGAGTTGTCAAACTGTCATAGTCAAGAGTCTAAATCAACACAGATAGGCAGCAGAAACACCAGGCCACTTCCATCTGTTGGATATGTCAGAATACATGGATACAAAAGTCTACATCTCCAGTAATCATGGACAATAGTATTAGCCCCTGTGGTTTTATGTATATACCAGTGTTTGTAACTATAGCACCCGGTTAAATGAGCAATAAGCAACTTTAACCTTTCATTTAGCATGGAACCATGGGACATCCAATGAACTGCAGTCTTGTCGGTAACCCAAAACATGCATTACTTTATCAAAATCATTTATATTTTTTAATACTGTGTAATTATATTTTATGTCAACATCATAATTGTCTCTTTAACACAATTACAGAGAAATCCATCAAAATGACAGTGCAACTGACATCTGGATGAGAAAATAGCAATGAGTGCATTTCTTACTTGTTAACCTAAGACCAACAATCTTTCTAATTATACAATCCATGTGGCCCGTGTAGTCTACCCACTTCCTGTCTAAAAACATCTGCAACTCTTTCTGCATTCCTCTTCTGTAATTTTGGAGTTGGTGCATGGTAAATAAACAATATGCTACATATATGCCTGTATCTTTTCTAAACATTAGTGTCAATGGGTTGAAATAGTCAGGTTTTAAAAACACTTTGACATGTGCAAATGTCAGGCACTTTTTGGTGCATTCATTATTTTGCTCCCCTATGTACTAGTCTAAACTTTAACCCAAACTGCTTTCTCTAGTTTGCTAAATTGATTCTAACTCATCAAAAAAGTGGAACAATGATAATTTTCTGCCTTGATATCATTTTTATAAGAAGCGGGCTAATACTACTAAAATAGCCAAGTGGTATGACATTTTGGAGTAGATCTCAGTACAGGTATGTTCTTATCATATTATGCACTAACAGTGAATCGGTGAACCAGATATCTCCTAGCTTTATGCAATGTCTTTCTTCTCATGTGTCTTGTCGCAGACTCATTCAATTTTCCGTTTTTGTGACCAACCTGAAAATTACTTTGCAGTGATTTATGCAATTATTATACTTTTGCACTGCTCTATTGCTACTCCTTAACATGAAGGACGGTTTAAAGACAGCAATTGCTCTGAACAGTTGACCATGAATATTTATTTCTGGACCAACAATGTTCTTGGCATAGTTTATTACTAGGGTATATAGTCAATTATAGTATGTGCTAATCCCAGAGAGGTAAAATATAATAATTAATTATCTTAAATTCATTAACACACAAATTCAGATAGTTTGTTTGTTATCTGATTAACACCTTGGGTTCGAGAATCATGGTTCGGTCACAAAAGACCCGCGTTTTGCCAACTTTGACACTGGGCACTGAATGGCACTCTAGCACTATGAATTGCACTTAACTCTTTTCTTCTGTTTCACCTTTTATATATTCCTATGCCTGTCTAGCTAGTTTACCAGGGAGAGAGGCTTTAATAACTTTAATATATATGGCAGTTTGATTTTGACTGACCATTAGTCTCTACAAACTTTCTTCTATTTCTACATCTAAGTCTCTCTCTAATGTTGACTATTCTAGACTTTTTCTAATATTATTGGTAAGGTCTGCTACTTGGAACATTTTTTTCTACATATAGCTAGACTCAATACAAATTAATTTTGTATTAGTATATATTATCAGCAGACATTTACC